ATGATTCAAAGGTGTTATTGTCATATGCACACAAGATACAGTGTAGAAATGGCAATGAAATTATTCTGACCCGAGCTCCTCCAACAATGCAACACATATAATAAAATACAAAAACAAATAATTTAGACAAGATTGAGACATTTTCTCTAGTTTTTCATATAGGACTAATACATGCTATTTTGCTAATACACTGGACATTAAATGACAGGCTTTAAAATCAATGTTGATGCTTTTCATTGACATATAACAGACTATGAATTAAACGTTTAATTTGCAGACATAATACCTCTCCAGCTGAGTCAGGGACAGCTCAGCCGCTCTCTTCTGCCTCACAACTGCTGAGGCCTGCTCCCTCTCCACAAACATACCTGTAGATAAATACACAAGAAACGGAGATGGCAAAAGTACACACATCCTTAACTCAAGTAGAAGTACAGATACTCGTGTTTAAAAATACTCTGGTAAAAGTAGAAGTACTGACTAAACTTCTTTACTCAAGTAAAAGTAAAGAGGGCTTTGAAATGTACTTCAGTAAAAAGTACCCATAACTACCAGCTGTTTTAAAGAGTACCTGACCTCCCTTTATATTAATAGAACAATAATGTCATTGTTAGCTAATGAATGTTTCCATGCTGAACAACGGCAACATGACAACGTTTTCATTGGTCCCTCTTCTTTAGAGAAGACCAGGAAATGATGGATACACGGATCGTGTTCAAATCAATAGGCACGCAATGACTCTAAATAATAATGATCACGCCACCAAACACACATTCAAACTAAAGGAACCAGCCTGTTTGGAAAATGGAAGAAGTAGAAAGTACAGGTATTTGTGTTCAACATGTAAGAAGTAGAAAGTACAGGTATTTGTGTTCAACATGTAAGAAGTAGAAAGTACAGGTATTTGTGTTCAACATGTAAGAAGTAGAAAGTACAGGTATTTGTGTTCAAAGTGTAAGAAGTAGAAAGTACAGGTATTTGGGTTCAACATGTAAGAAGTAGAAAGTACAGGTATTGGGTTCAAAATGTAAGAAGTAGAAAGTACAGGTATTTGTGTTCAACATGTAAGAAGTAGAAAGTACAGGTATTTGTGTTCAACATGTAAGAAGTAGAAAGTACAGGTATTTGTGTTCAACATGTAAGAAGTAGAAAGTACAGGTATTTGTGTTCAACATGTAAGAAGTAGAAAGTACAGGTATTTGTGTTCAACATGTAAGAAGTAGAAAGTACAGGTATTTGTGTTCAAAGTGTAAGAAGTAGAAAGTACAGGTATTTGGGTTCAACATGTAAGAAGTAGAAAGTACAGGTATTTGGGTTCAAAATGTAAGAAGTAGAAAGTACAGGTATTTGTGTTCAACATGTAAGAAGTAGAAAGTACAGGTATTTGTGTTCAACATGTAAGAAGTAGAAAGTACAGGTATTTGTGTTCAAAGTGTAAGAAGTAGAAAGTACAGGTATTTGTGTTCAAAGTGTAAGAAGTAAAAAGTACAGGTATTTGTGTTCAAAATGTAAGAAGTAGAAAGTACAGGTATTTGGGTTCAACATGTAAGAAGTAGAAAGTACAGGTATTTGTGTTCAACATGTAAGAAGTAGAAAGTACAGGTATTTGTGTTCAACATGTAAGAAGTAGAAAGTACAGGTATTTGGGTTCAAAGTGTAAGAAGTAGAAAGTACAGGTATTTGGGTTCAAAATGTAAGAAGTAGAAAGTACAGGTATTTGTGTTCAACATGTAAGAAGTAGAAAGTACAGGTATTTGGGTTCAAAGTGTAAGAAGTAGAAAGTACAGGTATTTGTGTTCAACATGTAAGAAGTAGAAAGTACAGGTATTTGTGTTCAACATGTAAGAAGTAGAAAGTACAGGTATTTGTGTTCAAAGTGTAAGAAGTAGAAAGTACAGGTATTTGTGTTCAACATGTAAGAAGTAGAAAGTACAGGTATTTGTGTTCAACATGTAAGAAGTAGAAAGTACAGGTATTTGTGTTCAACATGTAAGAAGTAGAAAGTACAGGTATTTGTGTTCAACATGTAAGAAGTAGAAAGTACAGCTATTTGGGTTCAACATGTAAGAAGTAGAAAGTACAGCTATTTGTGTTCAACATGTAAGAAGTCAAAGTAAAAAGTCGTCAGAAAAATAAGTAGTGGAGTAAAGTACTGATACCAGAAAAATGTGCTTAAGTACAGTAACAAAGTATTTGTACTCCACTACTTCCCACTTCTGACAAGAAATCTCAAGATATTTGCAAGTGTGGGAATGGTGTAGTTCAGTATTGATCTTTAACTCAAAGTGACTCAAATATATGACATATTATTGTAAAATTGATGAAACAGTGAAAAAATAATATTGCTGAGTCATGATCTCACCCTCCGGAGCAGGGCTGTCAGCAGGCTGGGAACCCGTGGAGGCGTCAGACAAACATGAGGGAAATATATCAGTACTAATGTATATATTTCATTCATTTTATTATTTTGAATCGTATTGAATTGAAAAAGTTATTACATGCCAGTTAAAAATAAAAAAGCTTGTTAGCCATAGTAAAGTGTGTAGTGTATTATATTGAAAAATGTCATATCAAATTATGGTATAGTATGTTTAAATGTATTGGAAAAATGTATCATATAGCATGTCAAAATATCAGGAAAATGTCATTATGAAAAAAACATAATTGTTGTTGTGTAATGTCAAAAATCTTTTTAACCCTCCTATTGTCTTCGTTTCCCCCCCCCCCCCCCCCCCTTACTTTGGTGTTCGCGGTCAAATTTGACCGGTCCGGGATTGGTTGGGGAATCATATATCACCCACCCACCAAATGATCAGATACACACCTCCATACTCAAAATATGTACGCAAACAAACATTTAAATTATATTTTCTGCACAAATGCACGCAGAAATAAACTTTGTCTTTCTTTTTGGCCTTTCAGGGCTTCCGTAGGTAACTAATACTATAGCCACTGGATTTGTCTTTCTATTAAAAATAGTAACATCAATTACAAATTGTAACATATCTTTTGGCTGCTAATGAATCAGACTGTCATTGAATCATTGCTTGCATCTGCTTCATCTCAAAATGGAAGTTTTATGATATGAAGTTGATACAAAAACAAGTAAAAAAAACAATAATAAATGCATAAAACACTAAAAAGTGACGCAGAATGATGTAAAATCACCAGACTTCTTGCAGCATGCGATACAAACCTTGAATGAAATGAGAGGAATGCAGTGCAGCTGTGATCCTGCAGAGGTCAGAGTTTCACATTCAGGTCACAAAGTGCAGAGGAAAGCATGTGAACTAAAGAGGGGGAAAACCACCTTCCCACATTATGTAACATGATTTTAAACTCCAGGCTATTCCCCGATTTTCCTACAGAAATAAAGCGGCATTTAAAAACGGCGTGTTTGAACATTTGTGGAAAGGGTAATTTGAAATGAGGGAAGATATTTTTTACCAACAACAAGAGGGTGGTTTGCCAATAAAGTGTCAGAAAGGTTTACACAGTGGAAGCAGAACATGTTAATTAAAACAGAACTAGAGCTGTGTCTTTGTAATCTTTGCCCTTTTTTAATAACATCTCATCATGTTGCATGTTAGTAGTTAATAGGAAAATGGATGCTATTGTTAATGCTCAATGCAGTCTAATGTCTATGAGTTTTTTAGTTTCACCGTTTGCTCACAGAACTTCTTAAATGGCCTAATTTTACAATACAAATTTAAAAAAAAAGTATATATTTTTATCTTAACAAGTCTAGAAGTAAACTAGATAAATACAATAAATATGAGGTTTATTGCCATGTAGGTTAACACAAAAAATGAGCTTTCATTGGTGTATATGGTGCATACATAAGGACGATTTAGGTTATGAAAAAAAGAACAAATAGATCTATTTTAACAGCTATTTTTAAAACAATATTACATTTAAAAAAATATTAAGAGAAATACAAATGTTATAGTACATCATGCAAGAACAAGTATATCTAATAATGTCATGATTATCAATCTGATCAGCTCATTTTCAGACAGGTTTTTATATAAATGGATCAGGACAAAAAGAGAGAGAATCTTTGTTCCTGAAACTTTCAGAGTCTCTTTACACAGAGGGGACACATGTTGATGAAGAAGAGACATGAAGAAGAGGGGACACATGTTGATGTAGAAGAGACATGAAGAAGAGGGGACACATGTTGATGTAGAAGAGACATGAAGAAGAGGGGACACATGTTGATGTAGAAGAGACATGAAGAAGAGGGGACACATGTTGATGTAGAAGAGACATGAAGAAGAGGGGACACATGTTGATGTAGAAGAGACATGAAGAAGAGGGGACACATGTTGATGTAGAAGAGACATGAAGAAGAGGGGACACATGCTGATGTAGAAGAGACATGAAGAAGAGGGGACACATGTTGATGTAGAAGAGACATGAAGAAGAGGGGACACATGTTGATGTAGAAGAGACATGAAGAAGAGGGGACACATGTTGATGTAGAAGAGACATGAAGAAGAGGGGACACATGCTGATGTAGAAGAGACATGAAGAAGAGGGGACACATGTTGATGTAGAAGAGACATGGAGAAGAGGGGACACATGTTGATGTAGAAGAGACATGAAGAAGAGGGGACACATGTTGATGTAGAAGAGACATGAAGAAGAGGGGACACATGTTGATGTAGAAGAGACATGAAGAAGAGGGGACACATGTTGATGTAGAAGAGACATGAAGAAGAGGGGACACATGTTGATGTAGAAGAGACATGAAGAAGAGGGGACACATGTTGATGTAGAAGAGACATGAAGAAGAGGGGACACATGTTGATGTAGAAGAGACATGACAAAGTGGATTTTTGCATAATAGGTGACCTTTGACTTTTATCAACACTATTCTAGGTCCACCCTTTAACACACATCAAGTTTTGAAAATAGCTAATTTCATCTGAAATGTCACAGTAATTGGAGCAAATGTGTTCACTCTCTCATGTGGCAAAGAAATCACTTTAACAAGATTAAGTAAATTAGATTTTATTTGTTTATTTCAAAGCAATGGAGATACTCACTGACAGCAGTGCTGGATAAATAAGGATAATGTGAGAAACAGTTAGTGCATAGCGAGCGACACACTTCCTCCGTGCGCTTCACATAAAGCTCTTAAATGCTGTGAAGGTGTGATAATAGTGGATACAAACTATCCTGAGATTACACAAAGGATTTCTACACGTGTGTAATGATGGGATATTTAGAAGAGGCCACAAAAACAACCACATCAATTACATAAAAGTTGTGATTCGGGGATCGAAGGCACGCCGTTCATCCTCAGACTGTTTGATGGTGATTCTGCAGGATTTCTGTTCAGTGTCTCCGCGCCCCGGCTGGTGACTGAGGCACGTTTCGGGCTGCAAAGTACCTAAAATAATAATAATAAAGCTTTATTTATATAGCACTTTTCATACAACACATGCAGCTCAAAGTGCTTTACAAAATGACACATCACAAGTTAAAAATAAACAAGAAATTCCCCTCAGATTATTTGTTAAGAACTTTACAGACCTGTACATGCAGCAAAATATAACATTTGATCAGGTTGATAGACACAAGGAGGTAAAAGGTATGATAATACAAATAAAATAAAATAAATAATGGTTTCTCTCTGACAGATAAGACACAAGACAACTGAGTCGATGCAACAATATAAAACCCCATAAAACAAAGTGAACATATAGGTACAACAGAAAAAGAAAAAAAAGACAATAGTAATAAAAAAGCCATAATTCTAATAAAGGTTAAATGATTAAAATGTAAAAAAAATCACACAGATTAATACAATTAAAGATAAAATAAACAGAGATGGGAAGTAGTGGAGTACAACTACTTTGTTACTGTACTTAAGTACATTTTTCTGGTATCAGTACTTTACTCCACTACTTATTTTTCTGACCACTTTTTACTTTCACTTCTTACATGTTGAACCCAAATACCTGTACTTTCTACTTCTTACATGTTGAACTCAAATACCTGTACTTTCTACTTCTTACATGTTGAACCCAAATACCTGTACTTTCTACTTCTTACATGTTGAACTCAAATACCTGTACTTTCTACTTCTTACATTTTGAACCCAAATACCTGTACTTTCTACTTCTTACATGTTGAACTCAAATACCTGTACTTTCTACTTCTTACATGTTGAACACAAATACCTGTACTTTCTACTTCTTACATGTTGAACTCAAATACCTGTACTTTCTACTTCTTACATGTTGAACTCAAATACCTGTACTTTCTACTTCTTACATGTTGAACACAAATACCTGTACTTTCTACTTCTTACATGTTGAACACAAATACCTGTACTTTCTACTTCTCTCATTTTCCAAACAGGCTGGTTCCTTTAGTTTGAATGTGTGTTTGGTGGCGTGATCATTATTATTTAGAGTCATTGCGTGCCTATTGATTTGAACACGATCCGTGTATCCATCATTTCCTGGTCTTCTCTAAAGAAGAGGGACCAATGAAAACGTTGTCATGTTGCCGTTGTTCAGCATGGAAACATTCATTAGCTAACAATGACATTATTGTTCTATTAATATAAAGGGAGGTCAGGTACTCTTTAAAACAGCTGGTAGTTATGGGTACTTTTTACTGAAGTACATTTCAAAGCCCTCTTTACTTTTACTTGAGTAAAGAAGTTTAGTCAGTACTTCTACTTTAACCAGAGTATTTTTAAACACGAGTATCTGTACTTCTAAAGGATGTGTTTACTTTTGCCATTTCTGAAAATCAAAGATAACAATACAATGATATGCAGTTAAGTAATTAAAATAAGAAGTGAACCTCTGGTAGGCCTGCTGGGAGCCGTGTGTGTAGGCGTAGTAACGACACGGAGAATAATCCTCGCAGGTCTCTGCACGCCTCTCGGCCGGAGACTTTACCTTCCTGAGAGGGGGAGAAAACACTCAGAGATCAGTGAGAGGAGCCATAATACAGGGTACAAGTACTCAGTTACAAGTCAAAGGTCACGTAATATGCAAAATGCACTTTTTTATGTCTTTCATACATAAATATGTGTCCCCGGTGTGTCAGGGGACTCACAAAGTGACAGAAAACAAAACCCTCTCTCTTCTCCTCCCTACCCTCTAAAAATGGGGGTTCAACGGAGCTGATCCAGATTTGCTGCGGTCTTGACGTCCTTACTAAAATGTGGGCTGGCTTTACATTGAACACCTGGCAACTATCCGCCCACGTCCCAACCTATCCTCCATATATACAGTCGTCTAGCTGAATCCCCTCCCTCAGCTGTGTGTCTGTGTATTCAGCAGGATGTCTGCGAGAGGGACTAACGGCCCGTCCACACAGCGGCTTTGGAAGCTTCTTCCAACGCTTCTGCCCATTCACTTTGAATGGGGTGACGTCACTTTTCGCCGAACTGCATTGTGGGAAGCAGAGCGGAGCTTTCCTGGCGTTTCAGGCTGCAAAAGTTGAGCAATGTTCAACTTTTGAAGCTTCTGAAGCTTTCGGTGGAAGCGTCAGCCAATCAAATCATATGCCAGTACAAGCTCTAGCCAATCAAACCGCTGCTTGTGTGTCAGGGGCGGGAGATTAATGTGATTGGTTGTTGGTCGAGCTTCAGACACGCCCGCCGGCAAGCTTTTTCCAAAGCCGCTGTGTGGACGGGCCGTTAGAGTAAAGTGGTTATATATAATACTTACAATGGCACTGTTCTAGCGGTAAACACTGAATAAAGAACACGTCAAGCTATGTGCTGTATCAGAAACAATGTGCAACGTGTTTTGGACGTAATATGGTCTGTGTTTACATTAGCAAGCATGCTAACACTCAGAGCTAACCTGTACTGGAGAGAATATGCGTAAAGAAATCGGATATAAAAGCTACTGTCCGAGAGAAAAAGCGTTTGAGCTCCATACTGTTAAAGAAATAATCCTTGAACATAATAGCCTTCTCTTCTCAGCGCTCACTGCTTGCATGCGGACACTACAAAGGGGCGTGGCCAGCAGCAGCTCAGTAACATTTAAAGCTACGGACCCAGAATCAGCACTTTCGTAACATGGCTGAAATAGAGGGGTATGAGGCATGGCTACGATGGGTGATCTGTTTTGTATTTTGAGCTAAACACGTCAGAGACATGTTTTGTATAGATATGGCCCTATAATATATTGTTCAAATATAGCATAATAGGTGACCTTTAAAGTAATACAAAAGTATTCTTCAAGCTCGCTTCTTTTTGTTGGACTGCTTTCCGTTCTATACCTTAATTGTAATATAATATACTACTTAGAAATAGAAAAGAGACAGTTAAAGGGAAGGATGGTGAGAAGAAGGAGGAGGGTTGTAATCTGAAACAGCTTCATTCTTGGTGCCTTTCTTCTCCAAGTTGTGCATTCTCACACATGTAGAAGTTTAATAGTCTAATTAGGTTTTCCCTTAATGGCCGACCATAATGTGTGCCTGTCTCTGCGGGTGTGTGGTTTCACACGAGTTAAATCTGAAGGCTGGTGTGCTGTGGTTGTGTCTTATACCTCACAAAGTTGTAATAGGTGCTCCCTCTCGGTGGGTTGTATGCGTTCCCCTGCTGCGGCGTGATGAACGAGTTGGCTTGGTTCGGAGGCACAAACACATCTGGAACCACAAATGTTTACTCGACAAAGCATCCTTGTTTTAATCAGGTAAGGCATGCCCGCCGTGCAACTGATGTTAGTGAGGAAAGACACGACAGGTGGATATTAAGTATTAAAGGGGCCATATTCTGCTTATTTTCAGGTTCATATCAGTATGCTGCCCGAAATAAGGTCTGTGGTTAACACAAGCTGAGGAGATTTTCAGGTTTTGTTCTACGACATAAAATCATCAGTAAATACCCTACTGGTAAACTTTCTAAGCTTTTACGTGTTTAAAAAAACAGCGGTTGCTAACAAGCGTTTAAATGAGACGACTAAACGTCATCACGCCCAACATTAGCCGCCTTTAGCTTAGCGGTGGTGACGTGAAATCATGTGACCGTGCTGTAGTTCCTTTATAGCCCAACATTAGCCGCCTTTAGCTTAGCGGTGGTGACGTGAAGTCATGTGACCGTGCTGTAGTTCCTTTATAGCCCAACATTAGCCGCCTTTAGCTTAGCGGTGGTGACGTGAAGTCATGTGACCGTGCTGTAGTTCCTTTATAGCCCAACATTAGCCACCTTTAGCTTAGCGGTGGTGACGTGAAGTCATGTGACCGTGCTGTAGTTCCTTTATAGCACAACATTAGCCCCCTTTAGCTTAGCGGTGGTGGCGTGAAGTCATGTGACCGTGCTGTAGTTCCTTTATAGCCCAACATTAGCCCCCTTTAGCTTAGCGGTGGTGACGTGAAGTCATGTGACCGTGCTGTAGTTCCTTTATAGCCTAACGTTAGCTTTTTACTTTTGACAGTTGCTATTATTATTTGATAAAAGTTGTGTCATAGTATCATAGACGTGTGTTTGCCAAATATATAGATTCTGGAATATTCTGAAAGCCAATGAAAAAATCCCATTGACTTTTTGTTGAACGAGCAAATATGTTTTGTAATACAAGCTTTCAGAATAGATAATAATAACGATGATAATATAAACAGATTAGGCATAATTAGGCACGCTACTTTGTGTTGAATTTAAAACAAAAGTTAGTCACATAAAAAACATAAACGTCTAATCTTCGGGTGTTTTCTGGAAATACACATGTCATGCAAGCTTAATACTCTCAAAATTCATTAGTGGTTGAAACAAACCTGTTGTGTCTCACCTGAAAAACTAAGATATACAGTAGAGCAGGCGGTGAAGTATTTTTTGCATGCATGTTTTTCCATGAACAGACAGACAACATTTAATCACCTTCAACGGATTCTGATTCTGTGCTCTCATGAGAGTCTACGGGAAAAACATGGAATGAGGTTAAGCATAATGATGAATGAATGCTGAATGATGATCAATGGGATTTTTTTTTTATGTTATGAATGATGGAAAAATGAAGGTATTTGGGGGGGGGGGGGGGGGGGGGGGAAGAGCCTGTACCATAGCAGACGCAGAAAGAAACCACAGCAAAAACTGCGAGAAACTGGAGAAGGCTCTTCATCCTGAGACCTGCTGGAAACGAGAACAAAGAGGTGTTTCAGTGGGGCGTCGTTAGATAGGAAAAGAAGGAGAAATAACAGAGAAAGTAACAGAAAATGTGGGTAAACGGTGAAGAACCACAGATGTGTGAAAGTGGCAACGTTTCTAAATCTGTGCTTGAGGTTTTGTGCATACGACCGGCACGTATACATCAATACATGCTGGCAATTTGATGCAGACTTTACATGGCAAACACCAGAGTTATATATATGTATAATAACAGATGTGCATGGATATGAAAAAGGGCTTTATAGAGCACCAATGCACACACTCCTGCAACAGCTGGAGCTTGGTTTGTAGGCTACTGCCAAGAAAATGTTAGCTTAAAGTGGACCTATCATGCTATATTTTAATAATATAGTGTAGGACCATACCTATATAAGGCATATTCATACTTTTTTTTTTTCAAAATACCAAACAGATCATGCATTTTAGCCATGCCTCATTTCGCTCAATTTACACTTTTTTATCCCTGTTTTTGTAAGGGCAGATTCTGTGAGAACAGCACCATCTACTGGCCTGGCATATGTACTACAGCGTCTCCAGCGCTTTCGAACGGCAATGGCCGTGGCTGTCTCCTCCTGATTGGTGGAGTTGGCCCAATAGCCGTAGCGCCTCCGTCCTGACGTCAGGACAGTGGCGTTAATATTTAAAGAGTACCTGACCTCCCTTTATATTAATAGAACAATAATGTCATTGTTAGCTAATGAATGTTTCCATGCTGAACAACGGCAACATGACAACGTTTTCATTGGTCCCTCTTCTTTAGAGAAGACCAGGAAATGATGGATACACGGATCGTGTTCAAATCAATAGGCACGCAATGACTCTAAATAATAATGATCACGCCACCAAACACACATTCAAACGTAAGTATTGCTACAAGTCACATTTGATATGGAGCGGACGTTCAACATTACTCAATTAATCCCACTATCAGTCAGAAAATGTGTCTGAAATGGACCAAGCTGCATAATAAGTACTTTTACTTTTGGTACTTTAAAGGGGACCTATCATGCAAAATGCACTTTTGTACGTCTTTTATACATGAATATGTGTCCCCGGTGTTCCAGGGAACTCACCAAGTGTCAGAAAACACAACCCTCTCTATTTTCCTCCATACCCAAATCTCTAAAAAAGGGGCTGCAACGGATCTGATAAAAACTGATCCAGATTTGAACACCGTCCTGACGTCAGGACGGTGTTCAAATCTGGATCAGTTTTTATCAGATCCGTTGCAGCCCCTTTTTTAGAGATTTGGGTATGGAGGAAAATAGAGAGGGTTGTGTTTTCTGACACTTGGTGAGTTCCCTGGAACACCGGGGACACATATTCATGTATAAAAGGCGTACCAAAGTGCATTTTGCATGATAGGTCCCCTTTAAATGTGAACTACGCTCATTATGTAACTCCTATATGCTTTTTCATTGGTCGATGTTATGTAACACAGGTAAGGTTTGAAGGTTATTTAGTGCTTACAAGCGTTAACACACAAACAATTAAATATTAAATATTAATGCATATAAAAATTACAATAATAATACAAATTAAAATGTTAAAATTAAATAGAAATATAAGCATTAACACACAATAAAATAAGTGACATTGTGACTTCAGATGACGAGTGCAAAAAATCCCAAAAGTAGGTTTCTACATTTAGTTTAAAAAATAAAATACAATGAAATGTTTTAAAAATATATTAAAATGGTATTAAAATAAAAGCATTAACACACAATAAAATGAATACAAATGGAAATAAAATGAATAAAAGAGAAAGAAGGTTGTTTAAAATCAGCACTGTGAATTCAGATTCAATTGAGTTAAATTGAGTTTAAATTACATTTTTAGGAGCTCCAAATGTAATCTCTACATCGCAAAATGTGTTCTTCTCTGGTTTCTGGGCTTAAGAGAGAGCAGCTGATGTTTACAAATATTAATTAAACTCTCCAATAACATATTGCAGTTGTTCATTTATGAAGGATTGGCTGTTATGCAGGGAAACAACTTCATCATTTTTTACGAGGCAGGTTTTTTACACATCTGCACTCTATCACATGCAAAACTGACAGTAAGGTGTTTGACATCTGTACAAACAGTTATAACAGATGTGTTTAGCAGACCAACACACACACACCAAACACACACACACACACACACACACACACACACACACACACACGGGTATTCACATGTCTGCACGGCAAAAAAAGCTTTCATACCAATCTTCTGTTTGTGGGATTTGGAAGGGATTCTGTTTCAGCAGCAGCCCTCCTTTTTGCCATCAATAGCAGCTTTCATTACTTATAAACACTTGCCAACACACACACACACACACACACACACACACACACACACACACACACACACACACACACACACACACACACACACACACACACACACACACACACACACACACACACACACACACAGGCATATCTTGGCTTGCAGACTCACAATGGGCACAGAAACAGAGACACAGAGTTCACAGAGACTGGCAGAAAACATCTAGACGTGTGTGTGTGTGTGTGTGTATGTGTGTGTGTGTGTGTGTGTGTGTGTGTGTGTGTGTGTGTGTGTGTGTGTGTGTGTGTGTGTGTGTGTGTGTGTGTGTGTGTGTGTGTGTGTGTGTGTGTGTGTGTGTGTGTGTGTGTGTGTGTGTGTGTGTGTGTGTGTAGTGCTGACCTAAGTGTCTGCAGAGGTTTTTATGCCTGTCTGAGTCTTAGTAGGGGTCCTGGTGGGGTTTGATTCCCTGCAGGCAGAATGTGCCCACCTCAATGGAAAAAGCCACAGACATGATGCTGGCACGCAGAACACCCTGAGGCTGCATATTTAAACTTATTGTTTTTATGAGTTGTATAATGTGCACATTTGTACTTTAACTCTTTAGTTTTATACAAATATATATATTTTTTTTAATTGTATCTTCTTATGTTCATATAATAATTTTTATTTAATTTTGTATTGAAAATAAGTATTTTCTTTTTTATTTCAAATGTTACTTTAACTTCTTACATTTATGCAAATATGTTTTTTATACATTTCTCATTGCACACTTTCCTTTAAACGTATGTTATATTTTTCTCTATCTGAATTTGATTCTGATTTTAGTACTTTTCACAAATTAAAATTAGTACTTTAGGCCTGATTTAGTTTGAGGATTGCATGTTGCAGCAATAAATAAGAAAACATGAATGAAATGAATCAGGTAAATCATAAAATGAGTCCTCTACCTTTCCCCTGCATTAAGAATACTGGCTTGAATGTACTCACCGTTAAAGATAATTATGTAGTCTTGGAAAAGTCTCCCTCTGTGTATTTTCTCCCCAGGAATATTCCCTAATTCCTCACAGCAACTCGTTTTATACTCACCTCTCTTACCCCCCCCCGTCTTCATTTCTCCCCACCTCCCCCTTTAGCCCTCGCCCTCTTTCCTGCCCTCTCATACTATCAGAGTATTAGCTCACTCTCTCCCCGACTCCCACGCCTTCAAAGGGGGAGGCAGAAAAACAAGCGAGGGGTAAACAGGGAGACAGAGTTGAGGGTGAGGGGAGGTTTTATAACAGGTACCTGAAGATATTCACTGCTGTTTGCCATGATATGAAAGACCCTCCACACTGAATCCACCCTCTGGCCCACATGTGTGACTCTGACACAGATGAACACATGAGTTAGTAGATGTTCACAAAGCAGAGTGAACACAAGTTAAAGAGACGGTTCATCATAAAAGTTAAAATACATATTTATCTCTTACCAGTCAGGGAGAACCGAGACGAAAGCGACGTAGGTAGAAAGCAACAAGGCGTTTTGTGCTCATACAACCTTGATATGTTTAAAACATCAGCATTTACAGCAGATCAGAACCCGGAAATATCGCATGCTTATGTCATACGTTTGAGAAGTTATACATGAGCAGAGATGGCAAAAGTACACACATCCTTTACTCTAGTAGAAGTACAGATACTTGTGTAAACTCTGGTGAAAGTAGAAGTACAGATACTTGTGTAAACTCTGGTGAAAGTAGAAGTACTGACTAAACTTCTTTACTCAAGTAAAAGTAAAGAGGGCTTTGAAATGTACTTCAGTAAAAAGTACCCATAACTAGCAGCTGTTTTAAAGAGTACCTGACCTCCCTTTATATTAATAGAACAATAATGTCATTGTTAGCTAATGAATGTTTCCATGCTGAACAACGGCAACATGACAACGTTTTCATTGGTCCCTCTTCTTTAGAGAAGACCAGGAAATGATGGATACACGGATCGTGTTCAAATCAATAGGCACGCAATGACTCTAAATAATAATGATCACGCCACCAAACACACATTCAAACTAAAGGAACCAGCCTGTTTGGGAAATGTAAGAAGTAGAAAGTACAGGTATTTGGGTTCAACATGTAAGAAGTAGAAAGTACAGGTATTTGGGTTCAACATGTAAGAAGTAGAAAGTACAGGTATTTGGGTTCAAAATGTAAGAAGTAGAAAGTACAGGTATTTGGGTTCAACATGTAAGAAGTAGAAAGTACAGGTATTTGTGTTCAAAATGTAAGAAGTAGAAAGTACAGGTATTTGTGTTCAAAATGTAAGAAGTAGAAAGTACAGGTATTTGTGTTCAAAATGTAAGAAGTAGAAAGTACAGGTATTTGTGTTCACAATGTAAGAAGTAGAAAGTACAGGTATTTGTGTTCAACATGTAAGAAGTAGAAAGTACAGGTATTTGTGTTCAACATGTAAGAAGTAGAAAGTACAGGTATTTGTGTTCAACATGTAAGAAGTAGAAAGTACAGGTATTTGTGTTCACAATGTAAGAAGTAGAAAGTACAGGTATTTGTGTTCAACATGTAAGAAGTAGAAAGTACAGGTATTTGTGTTCAAAATGTAAGAAGTAGAAAGTACAGGTATTTGTGTTCAAAATGTAAGAAGTAGAAAGTACAGGTACTTGGGTTCAAAATGTAAGAAGTAGAAAGTACAGGTATTTGTGTTCAACATGTAAGAAGTAGAAAGTACAGGTATTTGTGTTCACAATGTAAGAAGTAGAAAGTACAGGTATTTGGGTTCAACATGTAAGAAGTAGAAAGTACAGGTATTTGTGTTCAAAATGTAAGAAGTAGAAAGTTCAGGTATTTGTGTTCAAAATGTAAGAAGTAGAAAGTACAGGTATTTGGGTTCAACATGTAAGAAGTAGAAAGTACAGGTATTTGTGTTCAAAATGTAAGAAGTAGAAAGTACAGGTATTTGTGTTCACAATGTAAGAAGTAGAAAGTACAGGTATTTGTGTTCACAATGTAAGAAGTAGAAAGTACAGGTATTTGTGTTCAAAATGTAAGAAGTAGAAAGTACAGGTATTTGTGTTCAAAATGTAAGAAGTAGAAAGTACAGGTATTTGTGTTCAAAATGTAAGAAGTAGAAAGTACAGGTATTTGTGTTCAACATGTAAGAAGTAGAAAGTACAGGTATTTGTCTTCAAAATGTAAGAAGTAGAAAGTACAGGTATTTGTGTTCAAAATGTAAGAAGTAGAAAGTACAGGTATTTGGGTTAAAAATGTAAGAAGTAGAAAGTACAGGTATTTGTGTTCAAAATGTAAGAAGTCAAAGTAAAAAGTCTTCAGAAAAATAAGTAGTGGTACCAGAAAAATGCACTTGTACTCCATTACTTCCCACCTCTGTACATACGAGGCTATTTTTGATCAGGGGAAGTCAATTCACTAACGAAAAGTGCTTTTTTTTTACATTTTTCATGTAAAGTTTGTTATTTCATATTTAGGGTCACTTGACAGACTAATTAGGACTTTAATACATCTAGATACTTTGCCATGTCAAATTTTAACTGTCTGTCAGGACGATAGTAAAAGTTATTTATTTCCCGTTGCATGCGGGCACAAGTTACAAGGTTTTATACAACATGTATGTCATGTTATACCGACAGAATGTACCAAGAAAGAGGGTAAGAATGGCTACAAACCGTATCACCACGCAAAGGATGATAAGAGGCTTGTGATTTAAACATTAATGACGTCTTTCGCGGCTAAGCTTGAACATTAGCTAGCTGAGCAGACGCAAGGTTTGCAAACCTTGTCCCAGTTCATAAGAAAGCATGCATCTATTCATTGATGAGAAGTTTGTGATTTCACAAGATAAAAACGTAAATTCTGTCCTCCTGAGCAGTTACTAAAGAAGTAGATGAACGCTTCATTATTTGCACTGATACGGTGGGTGTAGTTCGGTTAAAGAAAATAGTTCCTGTATGAAACCTGGAGATTATCTCAAATACCTGGGTCATGATTTCTTGAAACTTACATTGATTTGAAGTGTTTTTTTTGGCCTTTTTAAACACCATTATACAGAAGTCAGACATTTCTGAACTCTGCACACCAAAACAATCCAGATCAAGTTAGAAGTTTTTAGTACACATAAAATGACACTGCATAACAAACCTCATGGTGTATATCTGAGAGTTATGTAACACCACATCACATTTGGCTCAGGTGGAGTTTCTGTGAATAGCTGTGTGGAAGCAGACCCTCGCCAACAGTAAACAAACCGGAATAAGATCGTGGGATATGCCAGGAATCAGCAGACAGACGGATAAACATCGAGACATGAAGATCAGATAAACCCCGGCCGACAGATAAGACTGAGAGGGGGGAATTCAGGATTTCAGAAAGAGAGAAAGCACATGTTGTTGCATGTTTTTTACGCTGAGGCGGCAGTGATGTGGTCTTATTAGGCTGTAAAGTGAAAAACCACTGAGCAGCGGTTTGGTCCTCTGGTGCAGATATTAAATGTCCAATTTCCTCGAGCAGATACCAACACAAAGGAGGGAAAGAAACATAAACAAGGGTATGCTTTTTTGTTTAGATTTTTAAAGACTTTTCTTAAGCTTGTTTCTAAACTTAGACACAGGCAAGAGGAAAAGGGTGAATGAGAAAAATGCGGAGTGGGTGATTGCATGGAAAGACAGAGTCGAGTAGATATTATTCACCCGTCTCCTCCCAATTTCCTCACTTGTTTGTGAACTCTCTTAAGTCGTTTTTCTGTTGTCCTCATGTCCTCTCTTTACCTCCTTTCCAGTTTGCCTCTGATGCAGTAAACACTTCTGCTTCACTAACTCCGCTTTTAAACGTTTGCCTCATTTGGGCTATTATTGGTACATGCATATTGGCATTTTGGCAAGGGTGTAGAGTGATTATTTCTCAAATGTTGTCGGTGGAACCTCCCATATTGAGTCTATAATAAAACGGTTAGCCCAAATACTTAAATCCTTAAGGGGAATTCCACATTTAAACCCATTGCAACCACTTTGACACTGCCGTCATCACAGCATAACATCAAGGCTTCTAAAACAAAAAAATGCGTTTTCTATATTTTTAATCACGTTTTTTTTCAGTCTGGGACTTTTATGCATTTTTGTGCCACTCAGATTGAAAAAATAGACCACCTATTTTCCTAATTTCATCCTTTTAAAAGTGATTTTGTTTTCACATGATGCCACTGTTTTTATGAATTCTTTTTATGGTGTTTTTTCTATTTTTAACAGTCCAGGATTTGGGTGTCGAATAAGTTTTTTAATTCATTAACGTTTAATTTAGTTTTGACCTTAGAGGACAAAAATGTTCCCTCTCTAAAAGTGCAAAAATACTTAAAACAATTATTTATTTTCCATGTTCATAAGTCCTAATCATCACTACCTTCTATCCATTTATTATTATAAAAATTGTAAAATATACAATTTGAATGTCTTATACCTTTCATAAAAACAGAAGCATAATGTAAACAAACAGGCACGGAAAGGGTTAAACTTCTGAAGATGAATGAATATTTGGCAGCTATGTTCAGAAATGTGACTCAGGGAAAGTGGATCATAATATTTATATAATAACTTTATGGCTGTTTTTTTCACCCAGACACTTTTATCCTCAGGTGACCTTCTTCGGAAGACCGGTTAGTTTCGGTGCAACCAAACTCTTGAGAAATGTTATGAATACATGGAAGAGCGCCAAAATCTTCTTTTTTTTATGAGCACAGAAGAGCGCCAGAAGCCCAGATAACTGATAAATGAAAAACAGAGGGAAGTGGGAAACAGGACGGGGAACGCCCTGAGCATGAGAGGAATAACAGAAAGCACCTGTTCAGCACATGGTCAATACAGGAGCTGGTGCTGATAAAAGGACATTTAAAGGGGACCTATCATGCAAAATGCACTTTTTGATGTCTTTTATACATAAATATGTCTTTTATACATAAATATGTGTCCCCGGTTCTCACGCAGCGTCAGAAAATAAAACCCTCTCTCTTTTCCTCCGTACCCAAATCTCTAAAAACGGGGCTACCACGGAGCTGATCCAGATTTGCGTCCGATATGACGTAATATCG